GGAGGCAGGGATCCATAGGGTCCCTCTCCCCGGGAGTTCTATAGGGGCTGGGAGAGATCTATAGGGTCTGGAGGGGGTGGTGGGATCAACGGGGCCCGGGGGAATCTATAGGGGCTGGGTTTGGGGAAAGAGAGAGAACTATAAGGTCTGGGGGGGAACCTACAGGGTCCAGGGTGGAAAGGGAGGGACCTATAGGGTCTGGGAGGGACCTATAGGGTTTGGGGGAGTCTATAGGATGCAGGGTGGTAGGGAGGGACCCATAGGGTGTAGGAGGGATCTATAGGGCTGGGGATCGGGGAATTTATAGGGTTGGGGGGATCTATAGGGGGAGGGATCTATAGGGTGTGTGGAGATCTATAGGGTCTGGTGGTAGGGAGTGATCCATTGGGTCCAAGAGGGGTCTATAAGGCCGTGGAGGGGGGTCAGGGAAGGGTCTGTAGTGTCCAGGGGGGATTTAGAGAGGGATGTATAAGGTCCAGGGGGGGGTCTATAGGGCCCGGAGGGTGGGGGGGGTTAGGGAAGGATCTATAGGGTCCAGAGGGAGTCTATAGGGCGGGGGGGTGTGATCAGGGAAGGTTCTATAGGGCTGGGGTGGGTGGGCGGTCAGGGAAGGGTTTATTGGCCGGGTGGGGGGGCGGTTCTATAGGGCCGGGGGGGGTGGTCAGGAAAGGGTCTATAGGGTCGGGGGGGCTCTATAGGGCTGGGGGGGATGTCAGGGAAGGGTCTATAGGGTCAGGGGGGTTCTATAGGGGTTGGGGGGGTTCTATAGGGCCGGGGAGGGGGTCAGGGAAGGATCAGGGCGATCTACAGGGGGGTTCCATAGGGGGGGTCCCAACCCCTCCCCTTCCACTCACGACGGGGCCGGCGGGCCGGGGTCGGGGCCGGAGGCGGGGCCGGAGGCGGGGTCTCGGGGACGCGGCGGCGCCGGGGCGCGGCGGGCTTGGAGCGGGGCATGGCGAGGCTCCACCCACCTTGGGGGGGAGGGGTGGGGAGAATGAGGGGTCCGGCCCGCGGTGCCCCCCTCCCAACCGCCCCTAAGCCCCCCCCCCCCAGCCTACGTCACTCCCCACCGCTCCCCCTTCCTGCCCCCTCTATGACATCCCCGCGCCGTGACGTCACGGCCGAGCCCCCCCCCCGAGCCTCCCCCTAAACCTGTCGCTGCCGCTCGGATGGATTCAAACTTCCCGGCCCCTGACGCCACTTCCGCCCGCCGCTCCCACGGCCCGACCAATAGGCGGCCGCTCGGCCGTTCTGCGCTGTCGGAGGCCGCGTCTCGATGGTGACTCGGCGGCCGCGGAGCGGGAAGAGACAGAGGGGACATTAGCATAAATTTGCATATCCGCGCCCCCACCACGGTGAGCGCTGGCTCAGCGTTTCCCGGGGGAAGGGGGGAGGCACTTGTTCCCAGTATGACCCCAGTTACACCCAACATGCTCCCAGTCATTACCAGTGTGATTCCCCAGCCGCATCTGTTTGCCCCCGCTGTGGTCCCACTTGCTCCCAGTACGATCCCAGTCACCTCCTGAATGGACTCACTCTTCCCCAGTCACTCCCAGTTGCTCCCAGCATGGTCCTGCTCACTCCCAGTTGCTCCCGGTGTGACCCCAGTTGCTCTCAGTCACCCCTAGCGTGCTTCCAGTCACTCCTACTTGCCCCCAGTGTGACCCCAGTTGCTCCCAGTCACTCCCAGTACGATCCTGGCAGCCAGCAGTGTGCTCCCAGCTCCTCCCACTGTATCCCAGTTGCCCCCAGTGTGCTCCTAGTCGCTCCCAGTTCCCTCAGTGTGATCCCAGTTCCCCCCAGTCTGGTTCCATGTAATTCCAGTTGCTCCCAGCATGAGCCCAGCTGCTCCCAGTGTGACCACAGTTGCCCCCAGCATAGTCCCAGTTGCTCCCAATATGATTCCAGTTACACCTAACATGCTCCTAAGCACTTCCACTCACTCCCAGTATGATTTCAGTTGCCCCAGCATGATCTCAGTTGCCCATAGCGCAGTTCCAGTTGCTCCTAGTATATCCCAGTTGCCCCAGCATGCCCCCCAATCACTCCCAGTTGCTCCCAGAATGGTCCCAGCTACTTCCAGTATGATTCCAGTTGCTCCCAGTATGATCCCAGTTGCTCCCAGAGTAGTTCCAGTTGCTCCCAGTACATACCAGTCACCCCCAGCATGCTCCCAGCCATTTCCAGTCCCTCCCAGTTGTCCCCAATATGATTCCCGTTGCTCCCAATATGATCCCAGCTGCCCCCAGCGTGCTCCCAGTCCCTCACAGTATGACTTCAGTTGTTTCAAGTATGACCCCAGTTGCCCACAGCATAGTCCCAGTCACAACCAGTATGATCTCAGTTACACCCAACATGCTCCTAATCATTCCCAGTTTCTCCCAGTCACCCCCAGTATGATCCCAGTCACTCCTAGGTTGACCCTTGTATATTCACAGTATGATCCCAGTTTCCCCCAGCATACTCCCAATCCCTCCCAGTATGATCCCACTTCCAGCATGATCCCAGTCACTCCCAGTATGGTCCCAGCTGCCTCCAACATGCTCCCAGTCACTCCCAGTCACTCCCATTTGCCCCTACCATCACCACAGTTGCTCCCAGTCACACCCAACATGGTTCCAGTCACTCCCAGTATGATTCAAGTCACTCTCAGTATGATTCAAGTCACTCCCAGTATGATCCCAGTTGCCCATAGCGTAGTTCCAGTTGCTCCCAGTATATCCCAGTTGCCCTCAGCATGCCCTCAAACACTCCCAGTTACTCCTAGCATGCTCCCAGTCATTCCCAGTCCCTCTAAATATTACTCCAGTTGCTCCCAGTATGATCTCAGTTGCCCACACCAGTTCCAGTTGCCCCCAGTGTGCTCCTAGTCACTCCCAGTCACTCCCAATATGATCCCAGTCACTCCCGGTATGGTTCCAGTCACTTCCAGTTGACCCTAGCATGAGCCCAGCTGCTCCCCGTGTGATCCCAGTTGCCCCCAGCATGCTCCTAATCACTCCCAGTTGCCCCCAGCATGCTTCCTGTCAACCCACTATGATCCCAGTTGCCCCCAGAGTGAGCCTAGTCACTCCCAGTTGCCCCCAGCACGGTCCCAGTTGTTCCCACTATATCCCAGTTGCCTCCAACATGACCTCAGTCACTCCCATTACTTACCAGTACGATTCTCATTGCTCTCAGTATGATCCCAATTGCCTGTAATGTAGTTCCAGTTGCTCCCAGTATATCCCAGTTGCCCTCAGCATGTTCCAAATCACTCCCAGTCGTTCCCAGTTGCCCCCACCATGACCCCAGATGCTCACAGCATAGTCCCAGTCACTCCCAGTATGATCCCAGTCACCCCCAGTTGCTCCCAGCATGAGCCCAGCTGCTCCCAGTATGATCCCATTTGCTCTCAGCGTGGTCCCAGTTGCTTCCATCCCTACCAGTATGATTCCAGTTGCTCCCAGTATGACCTCAGTTGCCCACAGTATAGTCCCAGTTGCTCCCAGTGTGATCCCAGTCTCACCCAACATGTTCCTAATCACTCCCAGTTGCTCCCAGTCACCTCCAGTACGATCCCAGTCACTCCTATTATATCCCCTGTATATTCCCAATATGATCCCAGTTGCCCTCAGTGTATTCCCAGTTTCTCTCAGTGTGATCCCAATATGCCCCCCAGCACATTCCCAGTTGCTTCCAGTTGCCCCCAGCATGCTGCCAGTTGCCCCCAACATGCTCCCAGTCACTCCCAGTATGATCCCAGTCACCCACTGGGTACTTCCCAGTATATCCCAGTTGCCCCCAGCATGTTCCCACTCACTCCCAGTCACCCTCAGGGTGATCCCACTTTCTCCCAGTCACTCCCGTTCACCCGCAGTGTGCTCCCGGTATGATCCCAGGGGCTCCCAGTATGATCCCAGTTACCCCCAGCATGGTCCCAGTTCCTCCCAGTGTGCTCCCAGTGGCTCCCAGTATGAACTCAGTTGCCCACAGCATAGTTCCAGTTTCTCCCAGTATATCCCAGTCTCCCCCAGCACGGTCACAGGCACCTCCAGTCACTCCCAGTTGCTTCCAGTTTGGTCCACACTGCTCCCAGTTCCTCCCAGTCTGATACCAGTTGCTCCTAGTGCGCCCCCAGCACACTCCCAGTCACTCCCAGTTGCCCCCCAGCATGATCTCACTTCCCCCCAGTATGGTCCAAGTCACTTCCAGTGTGGTACTACTTGCTCCCAGTAACTCCCAGTTGCACCAGCATGGTCCCAGTTACCCCCCCTCCCCATAATCCCACTTCCTCCCAGTATGGTCCCAGTTTCTTCCAGCATGGTCCCAGTTGCTCCCAGTGGCTCCCAGTTGGCCCCCCCAGCGTGGTCCCAGTGGCTCGTGGTATGTTCCCAGTGGCTCCCGGTGGCGGGGTCAGGCGGGGCAGCCGAGGGGGCGCAGGGTGTGCAGGAAGTCCAGCAGGGGGCGGCAGGGCGTGGCTGGGGCGCAGCGGGGGCGGGGCGGCACCTCCTCCACCCAGGGGTGGGGACCCAGCAGGAACTGGGGGCTGGGGGGGACGGTGACACGGGGACGGGGGGACACGGGGGGACAGTTGGGGTCAGTTGGGGACACTTGGGGACACAGGGACATTGGGGGACATTTGGGGACAGTTGATGACGGGGGGGACATGAGGGACACATGGGGGACATTTGGGGACATGGGGACACAGGGGACATTTGGGGACATTTGGGGACACTTGGGAATATGGGGGACATGGGGGGACATTTGGGGAGACTTGGGGACAGTTGAGGACATGGGGACACATGAAGACACATGGGGGACATTTGGGGATATTTGGGGACATGGGTGGACATGAGGGACATTTGGGGATATTTGGGGATATTTGGGGGGACAGGGGGACATGGGGGACAGTTGGGGAAATGGGGGGACATGGGGACATGGGGGGACATGGGGGACAGTTGGGGAAATGGGGGGACATGGGGACATGGGGGACATGGGGGACATTTGGGGACACGGGGTTATTTGGGGACAGCTGAGGACATGGGGGAACATGGGGGACATGAGGGATATTTGGGGACACTTGGGGTCATGTGGCACATGGGGACATTTGGGGACAATTGAGGACAGTTGGGGACATGGGGGGCATTTGGGGATACTTGAGGACTTTTCAGGACATGGGGGGACACGGGGGACACTTGGGGACATGGGGATGGGGGGGACATGGGGACCTTCGGGGACCTTTGGGGACATTTGGGTCCCTTCTCACCATCCATTGGTGTCCATCCCCGCCCCATCAGCAGGATCCTCTGAGGGGGGCGGACCCTCAGCGGGCAGCTGCCCCGCCCTAGCACCTGGCCACGCCCCCCGGGGCCACCTCTGCCGCCCAGTTGGGACCAGTCAGCACCAGTAACAACCAGTACACACCAGTAACGCCTCCAGCGCAGCTCACACCCCCACACACACACCCCCCAGCTTTCCCAGTCCGGCCCAGTTCAGTCTCAGGCTCTCCCAGTGTGACTCAGGGTCCCCACTGTGCCACCCCAGTATGGCCCAGTACATCCCAGTGCTCCCCAGTATAACTCAGGGCCCCCTCTAGCTTCACCCCAGTATGGTCCAGCATATCCCAGTTCCCCCTAGTATGGCCCAACCCCCCTCCCAGTATGGCCCAGGGACCCCCATGGTGCTCTTATGCCCCTCCAGTGCTCCACCAGCACCTCTCTGTACATCCCAATATAGACCAGTATTGTCCCACAGCGCCCTCTAGTGGCCCTTCAGCCCCTCCCAGTGCCCCCAGGCTCCTCTCCCAGTCCTCTCACCCTCTCCCAGTGTGCCCCTCCAGTCCTCCCAGTCTCCCCAGTTTCCATCCCAGTCCACCCAGTTTCCACTCCCACTCCCTCACAATCCCCCCAGTCTCCTTTCTCAGTCCACCCAGTCCCTCCCAATGCCCCCATTCTTCCCCCAGTCCTCTCAACCCCCACCCCCAGTTTCCCCCTGAGCACCTCCCAGTCCCTCCCAGTCCCCCCAGTCCCACCTCCCAGTAGAACCTCCAGGATTTCGATCTCAAAGGCCAGGAAGGGCCCAACCTCACTCTGGGCCAGTGCTTGAACCACCAGTGCTGGGGTCAGGGGACAAGGTCATGGGGGTCAGGGGTCATGGGGGTCACAGGGGTCAAGGGCATAGGGGTCAGAGTCATGGGGATCCTGGGGTCAAGGTCATGGGGGTCAGGGTCACGGGGGTCACAGGGGTTAGGGTCACAGCAGTCATGGGGTCAAGGTCACAGGGGTCATGGTCACAGGGGTCACAGGGGTGTTGTGGTTTGAACCTACTCAGCAGCTAAATGCCACACAGCCGCTCACCCACCCTCCCCCCACTTGGGAATGGGGAGGGAATCGGAGGGGCAAAGGGAGACTCACGGGTTGAGATAAAAACAGTTTAATAATAGTAACAGAATAATACCCTGACAGCAGTATCAGCGGGTAATGTACAATACAGCTGCTCACCACCCGCCGACCCACACCCGCCTGCTCCCAGCCAGCAATCCCAAACACACAGGCCCCACAGCCCCACTCCCAGAAGTGGCCCCTCTCCCAGCCCTCTCCTGCCTTTATATGGTGAGCATAATGTCACGTGACATGGACTATCGGCCAATCCCGGCCCAGCCCTCCAGCTGTGCTCCCCCCGCCCCCGCACACAGGTGAGGGCACTGGGGCCTGGGGAGCCCCTGGGGTCTCAGGGGGCTGCAGCTCCTCCCGCTGCTAAAACGAACAGGAACTCTAGTCCAGCCCCAACCAGGACAGTATCCACCCCTTATTCCATATCATTTTACATTATGCTCATGTTCCATATTTCTAATACATTATTGTTATTTACAATCCTCTTCCTTGGTCAAAGACATACGCATACAGATGTCATTCCCTCAGTCCATGGTCCATCACTGCAGGATGTATCATGAGTTGACTTGGTCCATAGCTTCAGGTTCCATCTGTCATAACAGTCCCTTCAGGCAGGAGGAGCGATGCTCAGTCCGTAGGGCAGAGGTGTCCTTGGACTTGACAGGAGGATGGCATGCAGTCTCTGTTGCAGCTGGAGCTGATGCATCTGATGCTGTCTGTATTCACAGTCTGCGGCTGTCGCTGGGCATCAGTTGCTGGAACCAGTCCTATTTTCATCCACGTTCATGTTTGCCATAACAAAGCATTGGTAGGGTGGTGTGGTTACTAATCTAATACAGCTTATTGGCTATTTTCACCTAACATTAAGTCCCCTTGAGGTACACATCAGACTTCCCCGTCCTTCTGCATTACCCACCAAGTGCACCCGGGTCCTTGGGCAAAGGTAATCCCACGGATGGGCTTACCTTTACCTGAAGGAGGTATAACCCAGACGGTCTTCCCCAGCATGTTTTTAGGGTGCACTACCGGGACTCTGTCTCCATCTACAATATGCAGAATGTTTGACTGGGCAGGGCCAGCCTGGTTGGCAGATCCTCTTGCTATTGACTAACCAGGTGGCCTTTGTTAAATGTGTGTCCCAATGCTTAAAAGTTCCGCCTCCCATTGCTCTCAGCATGGTCTTTAGTAACCCATTATACCGCTCAATTTTCCCGGAGGCCGGGGCATGACAGGGGATATGATATATCCACTCAATGCCATGTTCTTTTGCCCAGGTGTTTATAAGATTATTTCGAAAATGAGTACCATTATCTGACTCAATTCTATCTGGGGTGCCATGCCGCCACAGGACTTGTTTTTCAAGGCCCAGAATAGTGTTCCGAGCAGTGGCATGGGGCACAGCATATGTTTCCAGCCATCCGGTAGTTGCTTCTACCATTGTGAGCACATAACACTTTACCATGCCGAGTTTGTGGGAGCGTGATGTAATCAATCTGCCAGGCCTCCCCATATCTATACTTTAACCATCTCCCTCCATACCAAAGAGGTTTTAACCGCTTGGCCTGCCTGATTGCAGCACATGTCTCACATTCATGGATAACCTGTGATATAATGTCCATAGTTAGGTCCACCCCTCGGTCACGAGCCCATCTATATGTTGCGTCTCTTCCTTGATGGCCCGAGGAGTCATGGGCCCAACGAGCCATAAATTTTTCGCCCTTATGCTGCCAGTCCAGATCTACTTGGGCCACCTTAATCTTTGCAGCCTGGTCCACCTGGTGGTTGTTTTGATGTTCTTCCGTTGCTTGATTTTTGGGTATATGAGCATCTACGTGGCGTACTTTCACAACCAAGTTCTCTATTCGAGCAGCAATATCTTGCCACAAATCAGCAGCCCAGATGGGTTTGCCTCTATGCTGCCAGCCACTCTGTTTCCACTGTCGCAACCACCCCCACAGGGCATTTGCCACCATCCATGAATCAGTGTAGAGATAAAGGACTGGCCATTTTTCTTGCTCGGCGATACTTAAGGCCAGCTGGATGGCTTTCACTTCTGCAAATTGACTGGATTCACCCTCTCCTTCAACAGCTTCTGCGACCTGATCGTGTGGGGCTCCATACAGCATCCTTCCACTTCCGATGTTTCCCTACAATGCGGCAGGACCCATCGGTAAATAAGGCATATTGCTTCTCATTATCCGGTAGCTCATTATATGGCGGTGCCTCTTCAGCTCGGGTCACTTCTTCCTCTGGTGACATTCCAAAGTCTTTGGTCTCTGGCCAATTTGTAATTACTTCTAGTATTCCTGGGCAGTTGGCGCTTCCTATTCGAGCCCGTTGTGTGATGAGCGCGACCCACTTACTCCACGTAGCATCAGTTGCATGATGTGTCGAGGGGACCCTCCCTTTGAACATCCAGCCCAGTACCGGCAGTCGGGGTGCCAAGAGGAGCTGTGCTTCTGTACCAATCACTTCTGAAGCAGCTCGAACCCCTTCATATGCTGTCAGTATCTCTTTTTCAGTTGGAGTATAACGGGCTTCAGATCCTCTATATCCTCGACTCCAGAATCCCAGGGGTCGACCCCGAGTCTCGCCTGGTGCCCTCTGCCAAAGACTCCAGGTAGGGCCATTCTCCCCGGCTGCAGTGTAGAGCACATTTTTAACATCATGTCCTGCCCGAACTGGCCCAAGGGCTACAGCATGACGATTTCTTGTTTAATTTGTTCAAAAGCTTGCTTTTGTTCAGGGCCCCATAAAAAGTAATTTTTCTTTCGGGTCACTTGATAAAGAGGGCTTACAATCTGACTGTAATTTGGAATATGCATTCTCCAGAAGCCTATCACACCTAAGAAAGCTTGTACTTCCTTTCTGCTGGTTGGTGGAGACATAGCTGTTATTTTATTAATCACATCCATTGGAATCTGACGACGTCCATCTTGCCATTTGATTCCTAAAAACTGAATCTCCTGTGCAGGGCCCTTGACTTTACCTCGTTTTATGGCGAAGCCAGCTCTCAAAAGAATTTTAACTATTTTCTCTCCCATCTCAAAAACCTCTTCTGCTGTATTCCCCCATATAATGATGTCATCAATGTATTGTAAATGTTCTGGAGCTTCACCCTGTTCCAGTGCAGTGTGGATCAGTCCATGGCAAATAGTGGGACTGTGTTTCCACCCCTGGGGCAGTCTGTTCCAGGTGTATTGGACACCCCTCCAGGTGAAAGCAAACTGTGGCCTGCATTCTGCTGCCAGAGGGATGGAGAAAAAGGCATTGGCGATATCAGTTGTGGCGTACCACTCGGCTGCCTTTGACTCCAATTCATACTGAAGCTGCAGCATGTCTGGCACAGCAGCACTTAATGGTGGTGTGACTTCATTCAGGCCCCGATAGTCCACTGTCAGTCTCCACTCTCCATTAGACTTCTGCACTGGCCATATGGGGCTGTTGAAGGGTGAGCGAGTCTTGCTGATCACCCCTTGGCTCTCGAGTTGACGAATCAGTTGGTGGATGGGAACTACAGAGTCTCTGTTGGTGCAATATTGCCGTCAGTGCACAGTCGTGGTAGCGATCGGCACCTGTTGCTCTTCAACCTTCAGCAGTCCCACAGCAGAAGGATCCTCTGAGAGCCCTGGCAGAGTGGACAGCTGTTTAATTTCTTCTGTCTCCAAGGCAGCTATACCAAAAGCCCACCGGTACCCTTTTGGGTCCTTAAAATACCCTCTCCGGAGATAATCTATTCCAAGAATACAGGGAGCTTCCGGGCCAGTTACAGCAGGTTGCTTTTGCCACTCATTTCCAGTTAGGCTCACCTCAGCCTCCAACACAGTCAGCTGTTGAGAACCTCCTGTCACTCCTGAGATACAGATAGCCTCTGTCCCTTGGAAATTCGACGGCATCAGGGTGCACTGGGCACCAGCGTCTACCAAAGCCTTATACTCCTGGGGATCCGATGTGCCAGGCCATCGAATCCACACAGTCCAGTAAACACGATTGTCCCTCTCCTCCACCTGGCTGGAGGCAGGGCCTCTCTAATGCTGCTCATAGTATCCATTGTTGATGAAGGGGTTAGTGCAGTCTGTGCGAACCTTGGTCTCATCCTGGTTACTCACTTCTTGTAAGTACGACTCAGAAGTTCTCCTCATAGGATCAGGAGCAAAGTCAATTCTTCTACGCTGTTTGGGTAACTGATTAGCTGAGACTGGAGCAGCACTTATCCTGGAAGAACCTTGATTTGTAGCCATTCTTCCTTCCAACTCTCGGACCAGCTCTCTTAGAACGTAGGTGGGTTTCCCGTCCCATTTCCTCATATCTTCTCCATGGTCACGCAGGTAATACCATAGGTTCCCCCGTGGTGTATACCGTCTCGCTTGAGTAGGGAGTCGTTTGCTCCTGATAGCTGAGACCTTAGTCTGTGGAGGTGGAGAGTAGGACATGTCCTCTTTGAGTTGTCGGACTTCTTGTGACAGTTCCTCCACAGCCGCGACGATGGAAGAAGAGAGACTTTCTTCGTAGTGCCGGAGTCGGCGAGCCAAGTCATCCGTAGCTGGTCCCTCTTCGTCTCTCCAGTCAAATACTGCTAGTGCATTCGAATGTGAAGATGGAGCACTCCGTATAAACTTCTGCCACATGGGCCGGCTGCATTGGACTCCATCTGGGTCTGTGGGTAGCCGCGCATCGTCTGGATCATAATAAACCATCTCCCGCACAGCCAGTTCCCTCAGGTATTGGATACCTCTCTCCATGGCAGTCCACTTACTTAGATGACATGTAAGATCTTCTTGAAGGGATATCTGTCCCTCACACCTGACAGTAGTCATCTCCAAAGGCTGAGCGTTTGTGTCTTTCTTCCAATAATCTTGTCAATGCCTGCATCCCTGGACAGGGATCCCAGTTGCCTGGCTTCTCTACCTTCTAATTCCACACTGTTGGCCCCGCTATCCCAGCATCGGAGCAGCCAGGTAAGGAGGTGTTCGCCTGGATGGCAGCTGAAATCCTTTCTCATGTCTCGTAGTTCACTCAGGGATAGAGATCGGGTGATTACCACTGGCTCTGCCTCCTCCTCCTGTTCTTGTGAGGGCCCTGGTTCATCATCATCTTTTATAATGCGAGGGGATTTTTTAGTGTATTTCTTCTTCTGTATGGGAGCAACTGATACTGTTGTGGAATGATGCTCCAGTTCACCCGCAGTACTTATCGTAGGGGTCGGATTGGCTGCAGCGTCGGTCGCCTGAGTTAGAGTGGCTGCAGTGCCTGGTGGGGGTGTCAGAGTGGTTGCAGTGCCGGTTGTTTTGCTCGCAGATGCAGAGACGTCTTCCTTTTGAGGGTACTGCATGGTGGCAAGCAGGGTTCGGTAGCCACGGGCCAGGCCCCAGCATGTTGCAATGATCTACGTCTCTCTTGAGGTGTCAGGATGACAGCACACCTTTTCTGAATATTTTACTAATTTCTCAGGATCCCGCACTTGTTCAGGGGTGAAATTCCAAAACATTGGAGGTCCCCACTGTCCTAGGTACTTGCCCATGCTACCCCACACTCCCAACCACTCATAACTCTGCAACCCTGGGGTAGACCTCTGGTTGGTATTCAGAAACAGTTGCTTAACCCGAAACAGAACCTGAACCACAGTCAGGAACACTACAGCTTCCAGAAACAAGACAACAACATTAATATGAGCATTCCATGGATATTCAGAGTTCTCAGCATTCTCAAGTATACTTGCAAGTAGCTTGGAGAAGGGGAAGATGGAAAAAGGTATCTCCCCCTTGGGTGGGCTTTCTGAGGAGAAAAGGTGGAGGGTATAGTTACTAACCCACTCCAGTAGGTGCCCCATAACTCCCAGGACCGAAGATTTTATCATGCCATAAATTAGAGTTACATAATACAGCAAGGCAAAAATCTTAATCCAATTCCCACGGGTAATAAGCAACGACATGGGGACTACATATGTTAAGTAATGTGATGTATAACACAACTGCAGCAACAAATCCCACGATTTTAGGAGCCAAGCAAATGACATTATAACAGGATGGGCAGTCGGCATTATAACAAACTTGATAGTACCCACAGATCAAATCTGTTATTATCTCAACCCTTCGTGCCCCACGTTGGGCGCCAAAAAGGACTGTTGTGGTTTGAGCCTACTCAGCAGCTAAACGCCACACAGCCGCTCACCCACCCTCCCCCCACTTGGGAATGGGGAGGGAATCGGAGGGGCAAAGGGAGACTCGTGGGTTGAGATAAAAAACAGTTTAATAATAGTAACAGAATAATACACTGACAGCAGTATCAGCAGGTAATGTACAATACAGCTGCTCACCACCCGCCGACCCACACCCGCCTGCTCCCAGCCAGCAATCCCAAACACACAGGCCCCACAGCCCCACTCCCAGAAGTGGCCCCTCTCCCAGCCCTCTCCTGCCTTTATATGGTGAGCATAATGTCACGTGACATGGACTATCGGCCAATCCCGGCCCAGCCCTCCAGCTGTGCTCCCCCCACCCCCGCACACAGGTGAGGGCACTGGGGCCTGGGGAGCCCCTGGGGTCTCAGGGGGCTGCAGCTCCTCCCGCTACTAAAACGAACAGGAACTCTCGTCCAGCCTGAACCAGGACAGTGGGTCACAGAGGTTGGAGGGTCAAGGAGGCTCCTGAGGTTTGGAGGAGTCATGAGGGTCAGGGGTCAGGCTTCGCTGGGGTCAAAGGGGTTACTGGGGCGCTGGGGTCAGGGGTCAAGGTCGGGGTCAAGGGTCACCATAGTTGATGTGGGGGCTGTAGCAGGCAAAGTCCAGGTGATCGCCCAGCATCAGGGCCGGCAATGCCCGCCAGAGGCGGGGGCACACGCCTGGAGGGGCGGGGAGGTGCATCGCAGGCTGAAACCCCTGCACCCCCCCCAATTCTCCCCCCAACAAGATATCGGGGTGTCCCCCCAGATTTCGGGGTCCCCCCTGCCGTGGTCCCACCTTGGGCGCAGAGGTAGAGCTGGGAGGAGCAGAGGGTGGGTGGCACACTGCTCCTGTGGGGGTCGCTGTAGGACACAGTGCAGTGCTGAGCTGGAGGGGATGGAGTCAGTGGGGAGACATGTCCCCACCCTGCCCCAGGACCCACCCACTAGTGCTCCACCCACAGCAGAGCTCTGCCCCCCACCCAGAGCCCACCCACAAATACACCTCATCCTTCTGGTCACGCCCACCCATTCTGGCCACGCCAATTCAATATGGCCACGCCCACCCCTTTCTGGCCACACCCACCCAGCTCATAGTAGTCGTAGATAGCCGCCATGGCCGGCTGGATCTGCCCCAGGACCACCTCCTGGGTGGCCCCGAAGCTGATGCACTGGCGCCGCGTGGGGACCTGGGGGGACACAGGGGATGTGGGGGGACACAGGGGGGTGGACACGGGGGGGGACACGGGGGGACACAGGGGGACAGAGGGGACAGGGGCTGGGGGTGCCCCACCTCGTCAAGGTAGATGACCAGCCGCGTCCTGCTGAGCTCGTAGTGGCTGATCCAGCGATCGACCACGTCCCGCAGCCGGGGGGGAACATGGTGACACTCCAACAGTGCACCCCGATGCCTGACACCCCCTGTGCCCTCGCACCCTGACACCCCGACACTCCAACACCTGACACCCCCCGCACCCCAACACCCCAACACCCTCAACACCCCTGAACACCCCCAACACCCCAAGACCCCAACACCCCCCCAGCACCCCAAAATCCCCAAACCCCCTCAACACCCCCAGTACCCCCAACAACCCAGACACCCCCTAATACCCCAATAACACCCAACACCCCCCAACAAACCCCAAGAAACCCCAACCCCCAACACCCCCAACACTCTAACACTCCCCAACACCCCCCAAGAAACCCCAAGAAACCCCAACAAACCTCAGCCCCCCAACACCCCCAACACCCCCAACACCCCCAACACCCCAACACCTCCCAAGAACCCCCAACACCCCTACACCCCAACACCCCCCCCACAACACCCCCCAACACTCCAACACCACCACATCCCCCAACACCCCCAACACCCCAACACCCTCAACACCCCTGAACACTCCAACACCCCCAACACCCCCTAACACCCCCAACACCCTCAACACCCCTGAACACTCCAACACCCCAACACCCCAACACCCCCTAACACCCCCAACACCCCCAACACCCCAAAACTCCCAACACTCCCCAAAACCCCCAACACCCCCAACACCCCAACACTCCCCAACGCACCCCAAGAAACCCCAACAAACACCAACCCCCCAACACACCTCAACACCCCCAACACCCCCCAACTCCCAACACCCTCGAACACCCCAACCCCCCACACCCCAACCCCCCCCGCCCGTACCATGTCGAGGTCGAGCCGATGGGGCCTGAAGCCGCTGAGCAGGGACATCTCGGCCATGGCCATTCCCGACAGCTCCACCCCCGCCTCCTGCCTGTGCCAGGACACACCCCTCAGGGGGCGGAGCCACACACCACACCCCCACACCCCGCCCTGCCAGGGAATGGGAAGCCCCACCTCCCTGTCCAGGCATGACAGGAAGCCCCGCCCCCATCTCCAGGCAGAATGGGGAGTACCGCCCCTGCTCCCAAGCGGAACAGGAAGACCCACCCCCTTCCACAGGCATAACAGGAAGCCCCGCCCCTATTTCCAGGCCAAACAGGAAGTTCCTCCCCCAAGCCCTGTGAATGGAGAATCCCGCCCCACTATAGCCCCAGGAAGTCCCACCCAGACAGACTCAGTACCAGGAAGTCCCACCCCCCCAAGCCTGCTGAAACAGGAAGCCCCACCCTGGCACACAGGAAGTCCCGCTGATACAAATGAATGAAGCCAATCTTTATAAAAAGCATATAATTTTATTTGGGTTCAATCAATTCAGGGTGAGAAGCAATAGGCAAAGCCGCGCTGGGTGCGTGGAGAGCCTCAACTCTGCCACAATGCACACTCAGTTCTAAAAGCAATGTCTTTTATACTCTTTCACCAGCGTCTCGACCAATCCCTTTCCATCAGATAGTCGTCCTGCACTTCTTCCATTGGGTCATTTGAATTGTTGGAGTAGTTTCCTCCTCTCATTGGATCTTTTGAAGGTTTGAAGGTTTCCACCTCTTGGCGTGCTTTCCTCCTATTGGGTCTTTTGAAAGTCCCGGGGTCTCATCTTTCCGTGGGCCTTTTCTAAGCAGCTATTGCATCAGCTCTAGGGGAAGGTTTTCTAAGGAGAGTTTACATTTGCCCTAGGGAGTGTTTCTAAAAGGCGGTTACATTGTTCCAAGCCAGAAGCACACTCTATATTCCTACACAGTCTCCATTTGATTCCAACATTCACCACAATTATTATACAGGTTATAGTGATCACAAATCATTTCAGATCCACATAGAGTACAACAATTACACTTATCACACCATACTCTATCTTGACACAAATCATGCCTATGTTTTCCACAAGGTTGCTGTGGGTGATGTGCAGGGGTTCTGTTTGGAAAGGCCACTATTCTGGGCCTTGAAAAACAAGTCCTGTGGCGACATGGTACCCCAGAAAGAATTGAGTCAGATAATGGCACTCACTTTGGAAATAATCTCATTAACACCTGGGAAAAAAGAACATGGCATTGAGTGGGTATATCACATTCCCTATCATGCGCCAGCCTCTGGGAAAATTGAGCGGTACAATGGGCTACTAAAGACCATGCTGAGAGCAATGGGAGGTGGAACTTTTAAACACCGGGACACACATTTAGCAAAGGCCACCTGGTTAGTCAATAGAAGAGGATCTGCCAACCAGGCTGGCCCTGCCCAGTCCAACCTTCTGCGTACTGTAGATGGAGATAAAATCCCAGTAGTGCACCTTAACAACATGCTGGGGAAGACTGTCTGGGTTATTCCCACTTCAGGTAAAGGTAAGCCCATATGTGGGAATTACCTTTGCACAAGGACCTGGGTGCACTTGGTTTGTAATGCAGAAGGATGGGGAAGTCCGATGTGTGCCTCAAGGGGACTTAATGTTAGGTGAAAATAGCCAATAAATTGAACTGTATTAGGTCAATCACCAAACAACCCTATCAGTGCATCGCTATGATTGACACATATTATATAATGTCATCACATTCATGAAGGAACACATGAACTCAAATAAAGTCAGGGTTGGCTTCAGCAACTGATGCCCAGCAACTTCCATAGACTGTGAATACAGACAGCATCAGATGCATCAGCCACCAGCTCCAACTGTAACAGGGACTGCATGCCTTCCTTCTGCAAGGTCACCTAATCACCTGTGCCCTACTGACCAAGCATCACCCTTCCTGCCTTAAAAGACTATTATGACAGATGGAAATCAAAGTTATGAACCAAATGAACTTATGATACATTCGGCAGTGGTGGTCCAGTGACTGAGGGAATGATGTCTGTGTGCACATGCCTAAAACCCAGGAGAAAGGACAACGATCAATTAGACTGTACTGGGTAATATGGAACTTGAGCATAACGTAAATGATATGGAATAAGGGGTGGATACTGTCCTGGCTTGGGCTGAAATAGAATTAATATTCCTTTTCAGGGACTAGATGAGTGCTGTGTTTTGGATTTAGCTTTGGGTTTGGTATGAGAAGAATACTGATAGCACACTGATGTTTTCAGCTGCTGCTGAGATTTCAAGGACTCTCCGACTCCTCATGTTCTGCCCGTGCGCAAGGGCACAGGGAGCAGGGAGGGAGCACGGCCCGAGCACCAGACCCAAACTGGCCAATGAAATATTCCATATCATGGCACGTCATGGTCACTATGTAGAGGAGGGGTGGTTGGGAAGGAGCTCGCTCTCTCGCTTCTGGGATTGCGATTGTGGTATCTTGGTATCTTGGGGTCGCTAGCCAGGAACAGGCTGGATATTGGTTAGCGGGTGGTGAGCAATTTATGTGTGCCTGTTTATGTATTTCCTTTTTTTCCTTTTATCATCATTGTTCTCATTTTATTGCCATTATTAAACTGTTCCTATCTCAGCCTGCGAGTCTCCCTTCACCCCTCTAATTCCTTCCCCCATTCCCATGTGGGGAGGGGGAAGGGAGGGCGGTGGTTGGTTGCTGACCAGGCTCAAACCACGACATTTACCTATGCCAGGACTCATGGCATATAGCTGTCTTTATGGAAATTAATTTGGTCAGGAGAGGATGATGAGTCACCACATGCCCTGGGGTGGGAATGAATGGACACACACAGAGTGAAACACCCTTGAAGTTGACGTCCCCCAAAAGCAAAGCACTAAATCAAGGTACATGCAAGCAAGGACTCTGCAGTGCCCTGGGGGTCAGTGTGAACCCAGTGGGCATGGGAAGGGGAGACTGGAGAAGTGCAGGAGCTGCCTGAGGAGGCCCAGGCCCAGGACTCTTGTGCTGTGCTGGGGAGCAGGGCTGGTGGGGGAAGGGAAGGGTGTAAATGCAGTCGAGGTTAGAGACAACCTACCAGATGAATGCAGCAGAGCTAGAGACTGACTGGCCTCTGCTTCCTCCTGCCCTTTTGGCCAGCATCAGCCCTGGTGCTTGTGGGAAATCTGACCCCCCTGTCTGACCTCCAGGAGCTGCTTTGCCCTTCCGAGGAGCTGGAGCTATGGTTGAGTGCCCAGAGTGCTACAGCACCCTGTGGTGGGCACTGCCCTAGGGCCAGGGCAGGTGGGGAGAGCTGGGCTGGGCTGGAAAAGTCCTGGAAGAGGAAACACCAGTGATACCCAACTTTACCACCATTATTAATAAAAAGGAAACCAGTTTCCTACTGACACTCATTACGCACCAAGTCCCATAGCTCTTGCCACAGCTGGTCTCTCAGCCAAGCCCTGTCTCAGACAGCTCCAGCTAGATCAGGTGCTCATGGGCTTGTCTTGACAAATACTGAAAATATTCATTGAGTGAGATCCCACCAACTGGCCTGGGTCCTTGCTGCAGTGTTTGGCTCTGAGGGATTTCTCAGAACCCCAGCTCTCTCAGCCACTCCTTGTCCATAATATGCTCCAGGCCCCAACCATCCTTCTGGCCTCTGCAGGACTCACTCTAGTCTGTCAGGATCTTTCTTGTGCTGGGGAACCCTGTACTGGTCACAGCAGTCCTGATGTGGTCCTGTGATGGGTTAACTTTGACCAGCAGCCAGACAGCTACCCAGCTGCTCACTCAGACAACTCAACAGGACAAGAGGAAAAAATAAACCAGAGAAGCTCATTGATCAAGATGTGTGTGGGTCAAAGGAGAAACCAGAAACAATGAGACTGTGGTAGGTGTTCAGTTTGGTTTACCCCATCCAGTAGCTAAGCACCCACAGAGTAATTTGCTCACTCCCCCTTGCCTCCCACCACCCCAGCAGGGCATGGGAGGGAATTGGAAGTGCAAAAGCAGGAAAACTCATGGGTCAAGACAAAGAGAGTTTAATAGGTGAAGCAATATCTGCGTGTGCAAGCAAAGCAAAATGGGGAGTTCATGCACTACGTCCCATCAGCAGCAGTTTAGTCATTGCTAGGAAAGCAGGGCTTGGGAATACAAATGCCATGACTACGAAAATCTCCCCTTTTTCCTCTTTCATTGAGTTTGAGTTTGGTTTTTTGGTTTTTTTTTTTTTTTTTTTTTTTTTTTTTTTTTTCTGAGCCTGACATCATATGGAATGGAAAATCTCTTTGTTCCTTTGGGGCCAGCTGTCTCAGATGTGCCCCTGCCAACTTCTTGTGTACCCTCAGCCTACTTGCTGCAGGGGAAGAGTGGGAAAAAGAGAAAGCCTTCATGCTCTGCAAGGACTGTTCAGCAACAGCCAAAACACTGTTGTGTTATCAGTGCTAGTTTAGTAACAAATCCAAAGCACATCACTCTATGGGCTGCTATGAAGAAAATCAACTCTATCCTAGCCATTTACAGGTCATACAGCCAGGGTGAGGAGTGAACAATGTCTTAATTGAATGATTGCAGGAAATCAGTGGATCACACAACCTGGCTCTTCTAAAGGACATGGTTTCCTTGGTATTCACTGGTCATGTGGGACAGCAGCATGCAAACCACCCAGGACATTTCTTGTGGTGTTTGTGGAAATATTCTTAGCACAGATGGCGAACAGTCCTTTCAGTCTGCTCACCTGGACCTGGTATTCCCAAAAGAGCTGGTCAGGGATGTGAATACCATTGTCAGGGTGTGCCCATGAAATCCTGGTCTCCCAGATCCCCAGGGACGTGGGGAAGGAGAGGAGCAGAGCACAGGCCCTGGACTTCAGGGCAGGAGAACTTGGCCTCTCGAGGGCACTGCCAGGGGGGATCCCATGGGCGCAGTGTCAGGGCACTGAGAGCATCCATAGGCCTCCATCGACCCTGGCCAGCCCAACCTCGGGTCTGGGCCCACACCTCTGTCCCTGGGCCCAGGAGACCATTGAAGCCCAAGCCAGAGTTTCAACACCAGCTTGATCTACGCAGTA